TTTAGAAATTCTAGGAACCACTAGTAAACCTGCAGATTGAGAGCGAAGTGCTCTGTTAGGAACATAAGGAACAATCAGATCTCTGATATCAGATGAAGCTTGGCCATTTAAGGCTTTATATGTGAGAAGGAGGATTTTAAATTATATTTTGGATTTAACAGGAAGCCAATGAAGAAAACCAAAGATAGGAGAGATTATCTCTATTTAAAATTTTCAATTTCAAGTTTTCATCATAATTAAAAACTTGCCAGCTTTATTTAGGAGGAGTTAGAATTGTTGCCATGCAATGCATCCCTGCAAATGCTTTAGAAACCACAGATTATACCGAAATTAGGGCTCAGTGTCACGATGGACTCAGAACTGAACCTTCAGATGCACATAAAGGCAGTCACTACCTTTTATCACCTGAAGAAGTTTTCCAAGATTAAAGGTCAAATGTCCAAGCAGGATCTAGAAAAACTCAGTCCTGCATATATCTTTAGCAGAATAGATCACTGCAACAGAGTTGTTATAGGTTTTCCTAAAAACTTCAGATGAGAGTGAAGTTTTGAGAGCTGTGTGAAGGATATCCAGTTAAACCCATAGTAGTTAGACCTTAAGCTGTTTTCTTTTAAAGCTAATTTCTTGTATGGAGACACAGTTATAATGGCAGTATGAGGAATATCACTGCTCATCTGAGTAACACTGCTGGTCACAACGGCAGAGAAATAATCTCTATCAAAGTTCTGTCAGATTTATACTTTTTTTTTTATTAATGGTGAACTACAGGTTAACTGGGCTCCTCACAGAGCACTTTTAAATCCCTTTGTAGGGAGGAAATCTGTTAGATTTCATGGCTTTGTATTTCAGAAAATGTATCTAGTGACTCCCTTCTCCTCACAGGAACATTTTATATGTAGGTTTACACTCTATGAACCTGATTCAAGGTATGTTTAATATCCCCAGGAGGCAACAAAATAGACTTTTATAAACCATAGTACAATAAAGCATTACAATACCAACATTAAATCATAACTACTGACAGACACACAACACGCAACAATAACGTCAAAAAGAAAATCTTTTGGTTCTACAAGTTCTTAAAGCAAAATTGCACCTGATGGTTAAAAACTAAACAGCTAAAATTGCCTGGGCTCTCTGAGGGATCTGGTTATATGAAGGGTAGAGATATTGTTCCGTGGAACATTGGCAATTTTGCTGCAAAGACTGACAAGTTGATGAATGTGTTTCTGTTTTTTTGTCAATAACCCATACCAGCAAATAAAATAGAAGGTGAGAACAGATTCGATAAAACCTTCTCATAAACTACTGTCCATAGTACCGTTCCTTATTAATGCTAGAAGCATATACATTCAGAAACCTTTATGGATACATTGCCTACATGTTAGTCTATTTTTGCGTCATGGTTCCCAGATATTTGTTTTTTTCCTCACCTTCCACTGCCTGAACATTACTGTTCTAAAGTTCCCAGCTCTATCTGTCATTTCCACCTGATGTCCACACAGTCTCAGCTCGCATCTCAGGCACTGATATATCAAAAGGGATGAAAGCCCATCACCTCCGACTGAAACTGAATCTCTCAAAAACTGAACTTCTATTTTTCCCGGCCAAACCAACCATCCACCACAATATTCACATGCAGACTTGATCCCTGTCACTGACGCCATCAAAAGCAGCAAAAAACTTGGGTGTCATGATTGAGGACCAGCTGAACTTTAAAGATCATGTTACCTCCGTTTCTTAGGGCAGGTTATCCTCCTGCAGCAGTGTGTCGCAGTGAGCTTGTCGCAATATTTTTGATTTATGCCCAATATTGAAGCTGCTCTATGTTATTCTACTCCACAACGCAAGAGGGACAATCAGGAACTAGCTGTGGGTCTAGACACAGCCGAGGCGGTGAGGAAGTGGGGGCAAATTTGTGGGACAATGGAGGGTCATGAGGGCGAAAAAGAGCGGGGATCCAGGTGGAAAAAGGGCCCCAGTGTTCTCACGCACCTCGCTCTTCTAGCTGGTCCAACTTCACGAGTCATTTTCCGCAATGACGGTCATACAAACAAAACAAGCCAGTAAGGTACCAAACAGAAAATATGCATAGTGTAGAGCGGATGTAGATGCGACCAATCAGAGGCCTCCTGTCTGAGACACTGTCTGCGGTCACCTACAATTACAACCTGGTTTCTGAGCATAAATCAGCCTTAGAGGTTTAGAGGTTTCCCTGCTTTAGCACAGCTGATTAGGATGATTGCAGTTGAGCAAAAGCCTGTAAATCAGCTTGCAATTAAATCAGCTGTATGTAAATATAAAATGTTATTTTACATTTTTAGCCTAGTTTTATTGCTCTTGTGATCACATCTGATTAATATAGGCTACTAAAGACTTGATTAGCAGAGGGAAGACGGAGTATTAGGGCCAGGCTAGAGATTTTTTTTTGTTCTATTACGAGAATATGGTCGTAACATTACAAGAATAAAGTCGCAACAAGAATAGTCATAAAATTACAAGAATAAAGTCGTAAAATTACGAAAATGAAGTTGTAAAATTATGAGACTAGTCGTAATATTCCGAGAAAAAAGTCACAACGAGAATAGTCATAAAATTACCAGAATAAAGTCGTAAAATTACGAAAATGAAGTCGTAAAATTATGAGACAAGTCGTAATATTCCAAGAAAAAAGTCACAATGAGAATAGTCATAAAATTACCAGAATAAAGTCGTAAAATTACGAAAATGAAGTCGTAAAATTATGAGACTAGTCGTAATATTACGAGAAAAAAGTCACAACGAGAATAGTCATAACATTATGAAAATCAAGTTGTGACATTATGAGAACAAAGTAATAAAATTACGAGAATTAAGTCGTAAAATCACAAAAGTAAAGTTGTAATCTTATGAGAAAAAAGTCACAACGAGAATAGTCATAAAATTACGAAAATAAAGTCGTAATAATAGGAGAATAAAGTCCTAAAATTACAAGAAACGCATTGTATTTTATGCCAACTCCTACAAGAAGCTCTTTCTTTCCTAAAATGAGGAATGTCGAGCATTATGGTGAGCTTTATTTTGGTTCTGGTTTGACAAATAATGAAATCTTTTGGCATCAGCATCAAATTGTGCAGAATGTCAAAGTGGATTCAGGTTGCTGATTGGTGGAGCTGGTCGGCCGTCATCTGGTGGTCGAAGCTCGAAGCAGATTGTTGTATGATGACTTCATTCTCGTAATGTTACAACTTTATTATTGTAATTTTACGACTTTATATTCATAATTTTATGACTTTATTCTCGTTATACTACAACTTTAATCTCAAAAAATAGAACAAAAAAAATCTTTAGCCTGGCCCTAATACTCCCTCATGAAAAATGCGATTTTTTTATTTCTGTACATGTAAGTCAGCCCACCGCGCGCCCCCGTTCTGAATTTCATCCAACCTCATCTGGTCCCCCTATCATGGCTGTTCTCTCTGTTCTTCCACAGCACCTTAGATCAGATGCTACAGTGACTTGTTTTAAAACACAACTATTTTCTCAAAGGTTTAAGCAAATTAAGCCACTCAGCTGCTTAATTTGCTTTCTTTGTGTGTTTTTTTTTCTTTTTAAGAAACTGGGGTTTAAGTTGGTTGTCTGATGTTGGCTGTATAAACATAACTGACTTAACTAAGCGTCTAGCTCCGGTTTTCTTAGTCTGAGTTCAGATCGTTTCCAGTCTGATTTAAATCAACCTTCAGCCTCTTCTGGCTTCAATTCACTCTCTGCTCTGCATTATAGTTCAGACCATTTCCATTATTTATTCTCTTTCCCCCTCAGTTTGGTTCAATCTTGGCTTCAGATTCTTACACGACTCCCTTCCAGGTCTTTTCTGCCTTTTAAAAATGTTTTATAAAGTCTGAACCGAGAATCTGAGAGTTAATGAAAACTGTGCATCCTGTGGAGAAGCCGCTGCCTTTGCTCCTGTAAAGTCTTCTTTTTATAGCAGAACCACGGTAATATCTCCACTCCTGAAAAACATTCCTCTCTATAAGGTATAAAAAGATTATTCTGTCTTCCGTTGCCTTCCAGAACGTTTTATGTTGCCAAGCACAAAATTACATTATTTTCCTTGAAATGTATGAGGACTTTTGATTTGGCTTCTCTTAATGTTCCTCCTATGTCTCTCTGATGGATTTGTTTTGTTTTTCGCAGCTTGGGGATAAAATAGCTTTATGATATGGTGCAGTTAGTCATGTGGAGCCCCTGGAAAAGAAAAGCCTCCACACTGTAAAGTTTGAATATAAAGTGAATACCCTGTAGGATTGCTATATCTTAAAGCTGTCATGTCTATCCCTGAGATATTATTGTCTCTTCTATTTGTGAGGTAACTTTTTTTTTACCGAATACCCCATGCTTCTGCATTAAGACCAAACATGTGAGCTATATCTGTACAATTCTCATTTCTTTAAATATGTTTTTTCTTTTTAAAAATAACATGTACTTAAAAAAATAGAACATCTGTTGAAAAATGTGACGTTTGAGCAAAGTTTGAAGAAACACAGGATTTATTTTAAGCTAAAACTTGTACACCATGACCCTCATTACCAGCCAGGGTGTCCCTCTGTGTGCCTCTTGTCATCTTGTTAGCGGGGTTTTGGTTTGGTGGTGTTGTGACATGTTGCTGTGTCTTTCTCCTTCTTGTCTCACTCTGTAGTGGTGCGTCAGGAAGCAGCAGCGAATCGGAGAGCAGCTCAGAGTCTGACACGGACGAGTCCGAAAGCAGCTCCAGTGACAGCGACTATAATCAGGCCTCCCGCACAAACACTCCAGAGGTATTTTTCCATTTGCAGTCAGTTTACACTCATCATGGATTTAATGTGACCTGCATCTTCAACTTTAAATATATATTTTTAAACCTTTCTTTTTAAGTTTAATCATCATGCAACATACAAATAAAATAAAATCAAGAACTGGAGGTACAGCTTATAGATTTTATAAGACCTCCACTAACACTGGGATACCCTCAGCCTTACCCTAAGCCCCAGATGCCACACCTGGATGCTCCGTTCCATTCACATCCGACCGGCAGAGCTTCCACGTTATGTTATTTATTAAAAACGGTTCCATGTTCTACGCCATGATCTCTATTTATTCACTGGATTGCTGATTGCCCCTTGGTAGTAAGGGATTGAAATGAAGCAACCGGCCGCCATATTGGTACTCCCTTGTTAGACCGGTTGCAATGTAAACAATATGTGCGCTACAGCATCAAACAACAATGATATTTTCATTTTCAGGGGGAATTAAGACTTTTAAAATAAAGATAAATTCATCACTTTGACACACACTGGCTGTTTCGTAGCTTAGGTAGATTAACTTAAAATTAAAAATTAAAAAATAGGCACATCACTTTGCACAGTCATTATGAAGTCCATAAAGTCTCTAAATCGTGTAATATAACATATTATACAAATCCATCGATTTCAGAGCAAACTCCTACACCGGACGCCGCTGTTGCCCCGGTAATGCAAACATTGTCCCTTCTCTCGGCACCCCAAGAACAAGAACAAATTAAAGGGTTCTCGTGGAGTTGGTAGCAAGCTCTAGTCAGGCTAAGCGTAACCTCCTCTATTGTAGCCTTTCCAAAGTCAGCCTAACCAATTAAATGAGTTCTATTTCTGATTGGACGATCAATCACATTTTCAACCAGAGTTAATGGAGAAAATGTTTGTTTAACTTCATTGGTTTGTATTGAGTTTGATAGATTTTCTTGTGTTCTGTTCTTTGCATTTGGTTTAAACTCTTATTGCTTTTAGTTTTTAATTAGTTAGATCACCTGAGCTCTTTCCCCTGTGCTCATTATTCCCGTTTTTAGTTTTCTGCTGAAATTCTCCCCCCTCTGAGTTGCATTCTCCCAGTTTCCAAAGTATTTAAGCTCTTTGGTTTCTCTCTCTCCTTGTACTGTTGCACATGGCCTTGTTTCTGTGTTCATGACCCTCGTGTCTTTCTGTAATTTCCGTTATTAAATCCTCCATTCCACCTCCATTGTGCCTGTACTGTTTTCCCTGTTAACGTCTGGGTGCCCATCAACAAACAACAAAGAGGAGCATGTTGATGGCTACAAGAACTAGATGTTTTATGGCAATTTGCTGGAGGGAAATTATCTAAACCTGCGTATTCAATTCTGTGCTTCATGTGTAATTCGATTTTGCTGTGGCTTAAAGAAAATCAATTCACACTTGTTCTTCAAAAGCATGAGTTTACCATGCATTTTGCTCAGTAACTAACCCAGGGGAGCACACTGTAAGTTAAATCATGCAGTTTGGACCCACCTGGTTCAGTGCCTGGACAGAACACATACATGGTATGGAGATTGAAACCATGCAACCCATAGCGGGGTGTGTTCTCAGATTTGAACTAGATGCAAAAATGATTACGTCTAAGTTAATCAAAGGCTCTTAAGATAACAGAATCCTTTAGAGAAAGAGAGTATTTTTAAACCCCTAGTACAAAGGTCACAGATTAGTGGACCGCGGTCCGGATCCAGACCCAACCTGATTTAAAACATTTATAAATTACTGCATGGTAAAGCCCTCCAGAGCATCCGGCCCCAGGCTACAGGTGATACTAATAGCCAATGAGCTGAAAGAAAAAACAAACGGTCAGATCAGGTGTGATTCAGGAAATTGTCTATATACCAAACAGATTGATTTTCTCTACTTAAAAAAACACTTAAGATTTTAAAATGTAAAAATTTCCTTTTTTTTCTTTTTATATATGTATTTTTTATGTATGTATAACATATATGCTTAAAAACCTCATTTTATTTCAGTGTTAAATTCTGTTTAAAGTAAAGGATAATAATAAAAAATAACCTTTACTTGTTGCTGATTTTCTTTATTTGGACCCCTCTGATTTTTAATTGGTGAGCCCTGAAATAGAGGATGGTTGTCTGAGCTGCTGGCTAATGTATGATGGCTGTTTTTCCTGTTTGTCTGGTGATTTAGAAAGCAGATTATCCATCTGGATCAGTAGAGCAGCTCATATTCTTCTTCCTGCGCCCTAATTAAATGATTTGTTTAATTAGTTGATATTGTCAAAATATCACTGGTAGATGTCAACAATGAAAGACAGAAAAAAATATCTTTCAGTTTGGTATAAAGACAATTTCCTGGTTCAAATATTTTATAAAACACCTGAACTTTTTCTGTCTTAATGAGAGCAGTGGGCTTTATGCTGCCCTGCAAGGCTTTAAACCTGGGTTTGAATGGAGAC